CGTTGGTTTTCCAGACACTTATTTAATGATTTTCATTTTAATTATATATAGGGTGTGAGCACCATGGCTGAAGTTCCCAAGGAGCTAGTCTGGCCTTAGTCGGGCTTCGGACAGCTTTTCCCAAGAGCTCTAGCTTACTATACCCTGAGATCACATTTAAAATATTTAACACCGGACAGAGTCATTGTGGACTCTGGACTGGCCATGGCCAGTATACCAGTGAGTCCTGGCTGAAGGCCAGCGCCTTGGACACCCAAGAAGCCCAGGAAGGAAAGAGGAGGTGGCGGCAGAATATGTGATTGTTATGCAACCATTCGTGTCTGACTGTACCAGCAACCAGCTCCCATTTCTCCATGTTGTCCAAGAACTTATTAATACATTTTTGGAAGTCTTGCAAAAAGCTGAATATACTATATCTGAGGCATCCTTACCACTTGCCAGATAAAGGGAACATTAGTTAATCATTTAAAAAAATCTAGAACTTCTGCAAGTAATTTTTGGTTCTTTGTTCCTATCTCCCTGATTCCTCTAATATTTCCTCTCCTTGAAACAAAGTAGTACTCAAAAGCACACACAATCATATCTTAACAGGTTGCTCCTTTCTCTGCTAAAAACTTGGCAACTGAAAACGAAGGGAAGCCCTCCTGTGTTTAGGAACCGGTAAATAGATACCAAATTCGTCCTAACCAAAAAGCACTGATTCATGCAGCTCCAGAGGGAAGGGCTGAACCAGTTAGCAAAGGTTTAGGATTATACCTTTGATCAAAGCCCTGACTTAATGTTTACTGTTTTTTAAGGCATTTTTCATTCATTCAAGATCAAAAAGTTGCAAGAAATTTGTGAATCTGGGCAGCCCTGGTGGCTCAGCGATTTAGTGCTGCCTTCAGCCCAGGGCCTGATCCTGGAGACCCAGGATCGAGTCCCGCATCGGGCTCCCTGCATGGAGTCTGCTTCTCCCTCTGCCTGTGTCTCTGCCTCTCACTCTCTCGGTGTCTCTCATGAATAAATAAAATCTTTAAAAAAAAAAAAGAAATTTGTGAATCTGTAATTCACAGCATCGCTTACTTTCCCATTAGTTAAAAATCTCTGTATCCACAGGATCTGTGGCAGTTCTTACAAGTTTCAAAAGGGAAATTGCCAGGCCATGTGTCTGTCCTTGGGTGGACAAAGATAAATCACTAGAAGCAGATCTTAGTTCGGGGATGAGTCAACACAGCAGCCTCCCATAGTTATGCAAAAGAGGGGTGAACTTGTACCAATGATGAGAGGGAGGAGAGTGACCTTTTGTGACCTGAGCAGGGTTACCCCTTACAATACTCCTTGAAGGGCTTAGTAGATCAAGGAAGAGAAGGTGGATACATTTGCATAAGGATAGAGGAGCTATCCTCTACCCACAGGACAAAAGGCATCCAGAATCCCTCTCTTAGTACATTCGATTTAATTAAGACTCTGATGGGTTGGGATTGTCCTGACATAAAAGGAAATCGAGAGTCTGAAGGGATTAATTAACAGTCCATCAAAGTGGTATTAAAATTACTTTAAACTGAAAACATCAGAACAATCAGCAGCCACAGAAAGAAAATTATCTAAACTAAGCAGAGGCTTCAGAAAATACATCCTCCACTAACACCTACTGCCCAGCCTCCCCAACCCCCAACGCCCCCCCCCAAGACTTGAGAGGGAAGACTGACCCAGGAAGTACGAATTCAGCTGCCATTAGCATCAAAAAGCCCAACAGAACTTTCCATAGTTTCCCACTGAAGCTCTCAACACCTCCTTTTTATTAAGTTAGTACATAAATCTTTACCTTTGACTATTCAGCAAGTTACTCAATACTGAGCCCTCCAGCATGCATATGTAAATAAACCTTCACTTTTCCCTGTTAATCTGTCTATTGTCAGTTAAACGGCAGGCCCCAGACCTTTTGAAACTAAGTGAGTAGAGGAAAGTGTTCCTCCCCAAAGATCCCAAAGACGGGAGAAGTCAGTAGTGTAACCCAAGTTCAAAAGCAGGATCTGGAGAAAGCTCCCCCACATGCTGGCCTGGGGAGCCTGCACTGGAGCAGTAGCTCAGCTCGGATGTGTGCCTTGAAGAGTGATCCCCTTGGAAGGCCACCCCCCCACCCCACCGTGTGGCCTGCATATGAACCTGGACCAGATATGAGCTGAGGCCCCTAGTTCTGTCTCCCCTGGGCAGCCTGAAGCAGATCTCAAACCTGGACCAGGAAAACTACTCATTTGTGGGTAGTGGCAGACTGAAGAGATGCGGAGTTCACGGATTCCAACTAATGTGTGCAACAGAACGCTCAGAAAATTGATATGGAAAATGAAAGAATAGTAACCAGATTTGGACGCCAATATGCACAAACCCACAGAGATAAAGAGAGGGGGAGGAAAAAAAAACAAACATCATTTCAAAAGTTGCTGTGCCAGGAATAAAACGGGGAGGGGGAACTAAAATTTACAGATGGTCTTCTATGTCTTCTATGTAAATACGCTTACATCTAACTTGCTAAATTCTTGACTCTGCTCACCATGATGTTTCTTCTTCAACATTTCTCTTTTCAGAAAATGGACCTCTACTCACAACAATCAGAGATTCATTCCTGATAGTTCTTTTTTTCTCATTCCATTCATATTCATCATTGAGACCAATAGACCCAACCTCCCAAGAAGATCAGTCTTCTTCCACCTTCACTTTCACCATCACCATCTTCAGTGGTACAGAGCTGTAGATTACTGACTACTTTTCTACAGACTTACTATTCAGGAAGTCCCCTCTACAGCGAATTTCTCACTTCTTCGTAAATTTTCATGTCCCTTTTAAAATAATATTTGAAACAAGGAGACTAATCTGCAGGTTTATGAGCAGTATGAATAAAAAATTTTAAATCACACTTTAGTTTTCTATTCAAGAATTTAAGGCTATTTAAGGCTATTTAAGAATCAACCATAAGAAAAATACTTCCCACTGGTCCACTTTATTCTAACTGGCTCTCTTGGCATGTCAAGACACACTGCTCTATTGATACAAGATGATGTTTGAAATGTTTTTAGCTAGTTGATAAAATATTTAAGACAATCTCAGAAGCATTTGCCTTACTTTAAAAAAAAAAGAAGTCTTCTTCCTACCATTTAAAAAACACTAGCTTGTAGTGGGGGGAGGGGTTGAAATTTGGAGGAAAATAAACTCCTAAACCCAATTTGGAGTTCATAATTTGGAATAAATTAAGACTTACAAAAAAAATTCCAAAAGGAATATGAAATATATTCTTTGCCCAGATTCCTCCAATACTAACATCTTATCATAGTAGCTTTATCTCTTTTTCTTGTATTATTTCCAAACAGAGAAGGAGTTCAGAGTAAGTCACTCCCAAAACGTGCTGCTCTAGCATAATGATTACTGTGAGCTGAAGGCAATTTTTAAAAGAGCAGACACAGGATGAGCTTTCTGTCCTCTACCAATCTGCTTGAAAATAGAACATAAATTCCTGCTTTTCAAACCAGGACGAGGACAATCTTATCATCTTACATGAGATGGCACTGAGATGCATCTGCACAAACAAGCCTTACTAAATTAACATTTTTCTTCCAGTAGTTGCCCCACCCATTTACCTTCCCATATGTTGCTACCCTTGAAAGCCTAAAATTCTTTTCCTTTGTCTTTCTCACTTCTCTGAAATTTACTGTTTCTTTTGTTAAGATACTATATAAGCCCAAGTTCCCACCATTCCTTTGAGTTACCCATCACTGAGTTTCTCCCATGTATATGTATCCTGCACGTGTTAATATACTTCTGTTTGCTTTTCTCCTGTTATTTCATTTTTTTGTCAGTTTAATGTGCAGGGCCCCAGCTGGAGAACCTAGAAGAATACAGGAAAAAGAGCTTTCCTCCTCCAGTACTATCTATGAGAAAGTCGCCAATATGATGCTCCCTTATCCTTAAATACTTCAATATGTATTTCTAGAGATCAACAACAGTCACTTATGTAATTGCCACACAATTATCAAAATCAGAAAGTTAAAATTGATACAACACTATTATATAATCTACAGGCCCCATTCAAATTTTAATTGTCCCAATGATGACCTTTACCATAAAAGAAGAAAGTTTGTTTCCACGTTCTAGGAGCTAATCCAGGATCACTTACAGCATTGAGTTGTAAGAATCTCTTTGGTTTCTTTCAAGCTAGGATAGTTCTTCAGTCATTCTTTCTTTTATGACCTTGACATTTTTGAAAAGTAAGGAAAAATCTATAAAAGTTACTTTGTAGAATATCCCTCTACTTGCGTTTGCTAATGTTTCCTCACAATGAGATTCTGGTAATGGATTTTTGGCAGAAATATGACAGGAGTGGTGTCATATCTCATATCAAGAGGCACATGCAGTTGGTCTGTCCCATTGATGAGGATATCAACTTTGAATACTTGGTTATGATTGTATCTGTCCAGTGAGTTCATGAATTTTATGTTATAGGGCATCTGACACAAAAATTTTGAAACACTTCATAAATGAGTCTATTTACATAGTTTCAATGGCTTGTGTATCTTGTTATATTTTCAAAGTTTTTATTTGAGGGCTCATCTTTATTTTCTACCTATTTCTTCCTTTAATTACCAAATGTAGTGTTTCTAGTACTTTCCCTTTTTATCTTATAATGTGTTACAGGAAAAGTGTCTAATCATCGAAAATGATGTTAGTTGGGATGCCTGCATGGCTCAGGGATTGAGCATCTGCTTTCAGCTCAGAATGTGATCTGAGGGTCCTGGGATCGATTTCTGCACTAGGTTCTCTGTGGGGAGCCTGCTTCTCCCTCTGCCTATGTCTCTGTCTTTCTCTGTCTCTCTCAATCTGTCTCTCATGAATAAATAAATAAAACATTTGTAAAAATATAAATAAATAAGAAATAAATAAAATATGTTAGTTTTGGCTGTCAGGCGGATGCAGCACTTCCTTTCTGTGCTCATGCTCATGGCAGAGGCAGCAGGTGTGCCCTTGACATGCAGAAAAACACTGACAAGTTTGTGGACCTCCACATGCCAGGAAAATACTCTGCCAGCAACCACATCATCAGCACCAAGGATCACGTGTCCACCCAGATGACTATGGACACAGCTAACAAGGTGACAGGCAGGTTCAACAACAGGTTTAAAACCTACGCTATCTGTGGGGTCATTCCCAGGATAGGTGAGTCAGATGACTCCATCCTCCAGCTGCCCAAGGCTGATGGCATGGTTTCAAAGAAATTCTGACTGGAGAGGATCACAGCTGTGGGATATTTGTCATAAATAAAAAATACCCCTTCCCCCAAATAAATAAGTGGTGTTAGCTTTCAGTAAATTTTCAAATACATAGGTGAGGGTTTTTTTTTTTTTTTGGCTTCTTCTATATTTTACTTATAGTATGTATAGAATATGTTGCTTGGACAATCCATAAAAATGTCATATAAACTGAAAACAAATGCATCATGAATCATATGCCTATGTGCACACTGTCTCTGTACATTGGTCTGTTGTAACAAAGAACCATAGACTGGGTCGCTTATAAGCAACAGAAATTTATTTCTGTCTGGAAAGTGGAAATCCAAGATCATGCTGCCAGCATGGTTGAATTCTGGTGAGAACCTCTTCCTGACTGCAGACTACTTCTTTTCACCAACATATGGCAGAAAGAAAAAGTGAGCTAGCTCTCTGGCCTCTTCCTATGAGAGCACATACCCCATTCACGAGGGCTCTGTCCTCATGACCTAATCACCTCCCAAAGGCCCCACACCTCCAAATGCCATCACTCTGGGGATTAGGTTTCAACATATGAATTTCGGAGGTACACAAACATTTAGTCTGCAACACACATTTAATTACTTAAACAAGATTAATGAAGTGATACAGATGCAAATAAAAAGTGCCAGTCATTAGAAAAGATACAGTGTTTATAGACAAGAATGGTGAAAATAATTAGATTGCAGGAAAACAAAACTCTTCATTTGTTTGTCAGAAAAACACTAAAGTCTAGGCCTACTCAAAAGCCTGCCTCTGAAATTTGACCCTGACAAATTACTTCTTTTACTGTAATCTATAATGAAACTAGCAAGGATTGCACACACACACACAAAGACAGGAATACAGATGAACACAAATTGCTTTGAACCTATGGTCTTGTGGAAATAACATAGTAGGTATCATTTTTTAAAAACATACAGAATTATTTGACAAAGTGTAAAAAAGTATACATTCTATACCTTGCTTTGAAGTTCTAAGCACAGCCAACATTGCCTAGGAATTCGATTACTATTTTTCCAGCAGCAAATGCATAAACGTCCTTGGACAGCGCCCGAAAATCCACCTCTTCACTGGCCTCATTGGGACTCTGGGATCCTTGGCCCACAGTAGTCAATTCTCCAGAATAATTCATTTAAGACATAGATCAGATCAGATCACCTCCCAAACCTTGCTTACCATCACACTCAGAAAACATTCAAGCCATATTTAAAGTCTATCAGCCTCTATGGTCTGGCCTCCGCCCCTCCCTGCGCTTCTTTCCTTGCCTCTCTCCAGGCCTGCTACTCTGGCCCTGCCATTCTCCAGCACATCAAGCACAGGGCTGCTCCTCTGCCCGGAACATTCCCTCCCCTGCCAATTCCCCTGTGGCGTGCTCCCTCTCTCTACTCAGGGTCTAACATTCCCTCCTTGGAGAAGCCTGCCTGATCACTAACCAAAACAGTGTTCTGTCCTTCCCACCTGCCTCCCTCACATTATTTTCTTATTGGTGCTCCTCGAAGCCTGACGTTACGTCAGGCATTTGTTTACTTGTTTATGTTCTGGATTCTTCACTAGAAAAGAAGCTTCAGGTGAGCAGGAGTGTTAGGTTCACCACCATATCCCATCTGGGAGAGAGCCTGGCTCACACTGACACCTAATCAGCATGCATGGGATGAAGCACTGAATGAGTGCTTAGATTTCCACGTGACAAAACACGTGCACACATACAGACGTATATACGTAGAGAATACGAAGGATGGCAACTCTGACCTCGCATCAGAATGGCCTCTAGAGCTTTGAAACTCCAAACACCAGGTCGAACCCCTAGAGATCTGGATTCAGCAGGCATTCACAGGCTTAATTCTGATTCAGAGCCAGGAACCAGAAGCTTCTTATGAGAGGCTGAGCTACCTATTAACTGAAGATTGAGGCTCCTTTTCATTTTGAGGATTCCTGGGCAGTGTTTCAGATACTGTGCTTTAGCTGCCCACTCTTGGCTATGAATGACCACATATAAAAGCAGGGCCTGCAGCCCACGGTGGTATGGGCCACAGTGACCTCATCCTTGGCCTGGAGCCCACTTCCTTAAGGAATAAACACACCTCAACCAATGTTCTTTTTTTTTTTTTTTTGTGAAGAGATGTGTTGTACACACAGAGAATGCAGGTTTCCTTGTTCTGGAAGCCTACCAAATGTGCAGGCGGTTGGGAAGGGCAGGAGGAGTAAGAAAGAGTAATCAAGGCATAGGTTTGGATAAAGGACATAAGGTTGCAGGGACAGGATGTTCTCGCCTTGGGAAGACTCACTGAGAAGAGGATCACAGGGTCTCTGGATATGTTTACCAATAGTTTTTAATGCTTATCTTTCAGACCCTGGACTCAAATCATCTCACCAAATTTTCGTGTTCTAGACTAAATATCTATGTTTCCAGAATCCCTATGTTGAAACCTAATTCCCAGTGTGATGATATTTGGAAGTGGGGGGTCTTTGGGAGGTGATTAGGTCATGAGAGTGGAGCCCAGTCAAGAGACCCCAGAGAACACCCTTGGCCCCTCGTGTGAGGACACAGCAAGAAGATGAACCAGGACATGGGCTCTCACCAAACACTGAATGAGCAGACACCTTGATCTTAGACTTTCCAGCCTCCAGACCATGAGAAATAAGTCAGTGTTGTTTAAAAGCCACCCAATCTATCATATTCTGTTATAGCAGCCTGAGCTAAGACATCTCATGACAGCCTTACTGGGTCGTCATTATAATCCCTACTGGATAAATGAGTAAGCCACAGTATAGAGCCACTAAAGGACTCTTATACAGTCACAATAGCTAAGTTGAAGATCCAGGGTTCAAACCCAGCTCTTTCACTTCAATGAAAACCACCATCCCCTGCTGAATTGTGGCTGGTGCCCCTATCACCCAGTTCCCCACCATCCCACATATACTCAGCTTAGCCTTTGCTTCCTTCAATAATTCCTAATCCCACATGCACACTAGAATCACCTAGAGAACTTTTAAGGGAAATGGTTGAGCCCTACTCCCAGAGATTCTAATTGATTAGGCAGGGCGTAGGCACTGGTATTTTTTTTTTAAGCTTCCTAGATAATTCCTCCGTACAACTAGAGTTAGAAACCATTATTTCAGGGCAATGGGAAGAAAGCCCATGCCCTAGTGGAAAGTACCTCAAACAGCATCCACAAAGAATGAATACACAATTCAGAAGAGATCAGAGAGTAGCCTGGCAAAGAAGCTTCTAGAACTAGGGATGTGGTTCTAGCCCATCCTGAAAAGAAGCCTGAGGTACTGAGCTCCAGTCTAGAATAGCAATGTTTGCTACAGCCACCATAACAAAGCACCGCAAACTGAGTGACTTAACCAGCAAAAATATGTAGTCTCACAGTTCTGGGGCTAAAAGTCTGAGAGTAAGGTGTGCGCAGAGCCAACCTCCCTTTGAACGTGCTCAGGAAAGATCTATCCCAGGCCTGTCTCCTAGCTTCTAGTAGTTCCTTCACATATGACAGCATAACTCCATCTTCACATGGCACCATCCTACAGTGTATATGTGTCTATCTCCAAATTCCTCTTTTTTTAAATTTTTTTAATTCATTTATGATAGCACAGAGAGAGAGAGAGAGGCAGAGACACAGGCAGAGGGAGAAGGAGGCTCCATGCACCGGGAGCCCGATGTGGGATTTGATCCTGGGTCTCCAGGATCGCGCCCTGGGCCAAAGGCAGGCGCCAAACCGCTGCGCCACCCAGGGATCCCCAAATTCCTCTTTATTAAGGGCCCCCGTCATAATGGATCACGGGCTCACCCTACTAAGTATGACCTCATCTTAACTAATCACATCTATAACGGCCTTATTGCAAAATAATGTCATATTCTGGGATCCCAGGGTGGCTCAGTGGTTTGGCACCTGCCTTTGGCCTGGGGCACGATCCTGGAGTCCCGGGATCAAGTCCCGCATCAGGCTCCCAGCGTGGAGCCTACTTCTGTCTCTGCTCTCTCTCTCTCTCTCTCTCTCTCTCTCTCTCTCTCTGTCATAAATAAATAAATAAATAAATAAATAAATAAATAAATAAATAAATAATAAAGTCACATTCTGAAGTACTGGGGGCAAGGGGAAGACTCCAACATATCTTTTCTGGGAGGGACACAACTGAACCCCTACCAGGCAGGTAGAGCCAAATGTTGAGGCATTGTTCTCCCAGGATGCACTTAGGAACATATTCTTGTGCCAGATGACTACTTCACTCACTGTCCTGACAATTTACAACGTGCACGTATATATGTTAAAGGCTCAGAAAAGTCCTTCAATAAAGCAATCTGTTGGCTTTGTTTATCCTAGCATCTCTCAAATTTATTTGACTATAAAACCCTTTCCACATCTCATCTATTAATCACCTATGGAACACAATTTAGGAAACATCATAACTGGCTAGGTGTGGATGAGCCATGATGGGTTAAAGCCTCATAGGAGGGTGAAAGTGCCCAGCATCCAGGAGTAGACAATCTGATATGGAAGCAGTGGGTCTCTCTTTGAGAAAACACCCACAGAAACTAAAAACAAAAGATAAATTATCAGGAATTGCAAAATTTTTTACAGTATCATAAGAAACAATCCTGAGTCTTATTCTACAATCTATATGGCCAACTTTTTGGTAATATGATAATTCATTTCACAGAATGACGTTTCAGCCCTCTGGAAAGTTAAGCTTGGGGTTCAGGAATATTGTAATTTGGGGTAGGACATGTTGTAGCTGGAGAAACTGAAAGTGTCATCCTGGCTCCCCATCGATATTGAGCTGCTGCCTAGAGCGAAACCAAAGTTGGAGAGAGTAACTGGGGTCTTCTTTACCTCCCTCCCCCACCAGAAATCCATTCCAAACATGATATGGTACCTCATTTACAGAGGAGACCATACAAGATACAGCGGCCACCTGCTCAACACAAAGTGCCTCCTGGATTGAGATGGAAACTTTGGAAAAGGCTGCCT